AATCCAACACCTATACCTCCTCTGTCTATCCGTCCAAGGTATGCACGATGTTTAACGAACATTATAGGAATTTCGTTTCGTGCGCTTCAAGAGATAAAAAAAGGATGTAGAAGCTGCAAAACATCAAGTAAATATGTAGTTAACTACACCATGAGATAATGAGATTGTTTTCTCGCAGTTTAGTTGATATAGTTAGATATAACATGAAAATGAAAAATTCAGATCAGTTATGTTGATGAAAATACCCTGTAACCTACATTTTCTGTCAACTGTTACTGAGCCATCTTATAATTGACAAATTACTATCACTTTTCATATCTGATGGGAACCACTTCCAGCAACGGCAAGAATATTGTGAAGCTTATAAAATTAAACCACAGAAGTAATATTTCTGATGCTTTTTGCATATCTTGCATATTTGCAACGTTACTTGAATGAACAAAGTGAATATCATCCTTACGGTTTGTTTATTGCCATTTATATACTACAAATGAATTGAAATAATACAAATATTTCCACTCGTAGAAACGATGGGAGGAAACCTCAAGACCGAGAAAAATGAACACATGACATTCTACCCCCTCGATAAACCCACCGACAGTATAATTTGAGTTGTGCGACTTTGAAGCGGTGTGCAAAATGTTTCAGACAAAAAAGTAAAGAAAATCATCGCCTAATTTCCAAATCGATATCCGGTACGATTTTCGCAGCCACCAATACTTCCCCGTCGATGTGACCGGTTTCCTTTGGAGTTTTCAGGCGGGAGGCGAGGGGGCTTGCAACTCGAACGACGCGGCGTCTCAGAGCTGCGGGGTTATAGGGGGATGGGTTTATTTCACCCACGTTGGTGTGTTCAGTGCCCCCCGCTATCAAACTACATCTTACTACATCATTCAAGATTCGAGAAATGATCATGCTCTATAGGTAAAAAAATAATTCGACGCGGATAAAGAAAATTCTAGTTTTTATTTTCCGTTATGTTTAACCTTCAAAATGTAGATTTGAAAACGAAGAATCTTGTCTTCTTCAAAAAGAAAACACTCAGAAATAAAAATTACTTTATTGAAGAAGATTCAACAAGAGCTGCTGTGGAAACCTTGAAATATCCATCTGAAAAGTATGGAAAGTCCAACGTGTGGAGTCAAGGTGGATGTTACAGATGATATTTTTAGGGATATCGATAGAGGGCACTCTGTAGCCCTGATTTTATTAAATTATTCGAAAGCTTCCGATATACTATAAATCATGAGTTGCTGTTTGCTACACTACACTACATAGGTTTTTCTCAAATTTGAATTAACTTTCTTAAAAGCTACCTCACAGATCGCGAACAATTCGTTGGAACCAGTCTAGAAAAATCTGATATGAAACAAATTGCTTGTGGAGTGCCTCAAGGCTCCATTCTAGGTCCTTTACTGTTCTCAATTCACACATGTAACATTACTAGTTGAGATACCCAAATCAAATTCACAACATCATACGCTGATATTGACTCAACAAATCTTTTAATTAATCAGAAATAATCTAAGCTCATATCATTTTCAGAACAACATCAACTCCAGGTAAACCCATCAAAAACACAAATTTTGATTTTTGGGAAAAATGAAGAACAAATCGAACAATTGCGAGTATTAATGTATCTTGCGTCAAAGTTGCTAGAAATTTCGCCTCCATCTCATCGAACTACAGTATTCAGGAGGTCCTTCAGTTATAATATTTACAGATTATACAACCATATTCATTAAGATGATGCCACTTTACACTTCACACTTTACGCTCATTTCATTATTTATGTGCCAATTTTGATGTTTTTTGCCAGTCGCTAGTGATAACACTCGTATCAGTTTTACTGCCTGTCATCTCTATTTTGCGGTATGATCCGATAATCATTTCCCAATAATCAGTTGTTCCTTTATATATCTATATCCTGTATCATTCTGCAAATGAACATTATTATTATTATTATTATAAATATCCTATACACAGATGTTATGGTAATGTGCTCACACATACTGGCTATTCAAAGTTATAGTCGTTGATAATGATAATTTATCTCTCTAGTTTTTCTATTAGATTGGGATCCAAAAATTTGGAGAATGAGAAATAGTTATAATGATTTTATGGAATAAAAATGGAAAAGTGCCATTTGGGGACAAACAACTTTTTTTTTTATTTTGTCCGCACCTTTTTACTGAAACCTATAGATCAGACTCAAGTTATTATAGGTCAAAAGTTGTATGCGGAAACACCAGATACATTCAGTCTTACTCATTTTTTACTGCTCTTTCCAAATTTGTATGTACTTATATGAAATTTCAAAATATTGAGGTAGAGGGTGTTGTTTCGACTCGAAACCTATACTTATCAATTTTTTCAAGGCGGGCCCTGCAATGAGAATTTTTTTATTATGTCCATCATTACCACTGTGGACTAAGAACATACAATTATCAAATCAATGTATAGGGTGGTTCATGAGTTATGATTAATCAAAAAAATTAGATGAATCAATAAATCACTTTGATTATGAAGAATGATAGACCAATGAAATATAAATTATTCAGAAGCACCGCGGCGTCCTTCACCTACCCAAACTGTAAGCGCATTTCCCAATGAATCACCCTGTATACTTCCACAACCGGCCACTTTGGCGCTGCAATTTTAAATTCAGTCGCCTATAAACGAATAATGTTCTTTGGGAATAATAGAATCGATTAATAGTACAATCAAATGGTATTTTCACTTGGAAAAAATTCAAGTAGTCGATTTCTGTGTGGTTTCATGTGTTTTTGGAGGTGCTGAATTCGAATCTGAATTTTGCAAACCAAATTTCCTGGAGCGTTCCGAGATGATCGCAAAAAACAGTAAAATTTTCGGACTTTTTTCGGTTTTTTGCCCGCAACTCGGAAATCATACGTTATATCGAAAAGACCGTTTCTTAGAAAGTTGATGAAGATAAAATTTCCTAAATATTAGTTTCATTGCTCATGAATGTAGGACTAACGAGTGCGGAGATAGAGCCAGTTGAAGATTGACCAAATTTGCGTACTTTTTATAAAATGCTTTATATAACCCTTGACTCCTGATGAAGCCTGATATTTTTTATCGAGGTGGTCGAAATCCTTTGTGAACACCATATGGGTCCAATCCCCCATATGATAGTGTGGGAGTCCCCTGACTCGCCGACGACACTTAGGCCTAGTGGCTCATTGTATCTTAACCACATGTCGTTATCAATTTTACCATATACGACTCATGGTGCTTATTGAGGGCCCCTTCAATATGAAAGACCCTTTTCGTTCAGGTTCCTGAAGATTACTCTTCCGATCCCTGTTCTCGTCTACGAAGAAGGCCAAAAGTTTTCCTTCTCCTACGAGTGACGGGGAAAGGGGTTGGTCCAGCCCTGTGGTGCCCTCTGCACAGGGCTAAGGCTACTTACTCTGAGATGTCCCAGAGGCCCCGTTAGCGACACCATACCTCGATGCCATTCATCCATCACCACGACGGGTACCCACAGCTTGGATTAGGTTGCCAGAGCCTCGTTGACCATCAGTCCTCGGCCACCTAGACAGATATCAGCAGATCGCCCCATCCATGCCACAGATGTCCACACATTGTCCGATCTGGACCGGAGATAGTAATGATGTTCCCAAAATGCATCATCCGTCGAGCGGCCGTGGTCTGTCCTCCCCACACCACTTGATGGTGAGGTTGGACTTGGAGAGGAGGAGGAGAAGAGAAGTTGGCCAAGAAAGGCCGATTGAAAGAAGAGAGAAGAGGATATCACCCAAGACAAGTATGGTGAATATCCGGCTAGGGTACCTCGGGTTCACCATTCCCGTACTCACAAGTTGTGAGCCCCTGAGGGAGTACTCGTACGTTACTTGAACATGTATGAACAAAGGTGATCCGCGGTTTAGTGTCAGTCTTCTCTTCAATTTTCTTTAGTAACGCTCTTGTTTGCTGAGACTCACTAGCTTACGAATTGTTGAAGAACCCTTTCCTCCTCGTTTACCTGGAGTTGCTCAACAGTAGTAGGATTTTTCACTTCATCCTCGTTTTCTGAGCTCTGTGATAAGGTGGCATTTGCTTGTCTCACAGAAAGATAAAGTGTGAGCTCTGCACTTTTTTGCGAGGCGATCAGCTGCCTCATTTCCTTGACGCCTTGGAACCCACATGACCAAGACTTGATTCTGATACTTAAGTATTCATCACAAGATAGGTAATTTTGATAGTTTGAATAGTTTATCAGTTTTTCATCAAAATGTTCAAAGAATACCCTATAGTATTTGGAATTATTGTATCGCAATTATAATACCTAAAATTCCAGCGTACAGAATTTTAATTTTTTTTGTCTCCCACCCCACAGGATACAAAAACGAAACGTATAGTCTAAGAACAGAACAATGACCTATTTATACGTTTTAGAGCTTAATTGAACATATAAGTTGAGAGGATGAACATCAGTGTGGCAACTACGATTAAAAGACGTCTCCAAGTCCGAGCGCTCTAACAGCCGTTCATCTTATTTCATAATGACGAAATTTACATGAGCTCGATAGGAAATTTGATGCTTTTCCAATATGTGCATGATGCTATACATATGTCTCTGAGTAATACGTAAAATATGAATTATCTGCGAAAACCGACGAGAAACGCTATTTTTTTAAAAGTACCCGAATTTGGTCAATTTTCAACTGGCCCTATCTCCGCACCCTTCAGTCCTACATTCATGAGCAAGGATAATTCTATCTAGGAAAGTTTATCTACTTCAACTTTTTAAAGGGCGGTCTTTTCGATATAATGTATGATTTCCGAGTGCGAAAATTTCGCTGTATTTTGTTTATATCTGGGAACACTTCAAGAAATTGTGTTTGCGAAATTCAGATTCGAATTCAGCACCTCCAATAACATATAAAGCCACAGAGGAACCCACTACTTGAATTTTTTCCCGGATTGGGTCCTATTCGTTACCGTTTTTCTGAGCTATAATTGATTGATAGGCGAGGGCAGCTGCAACTCGAACGACGCCGTCACCGACCTGCGCTACTCAAAGATAATCTCATCGTCGGCGGCAACGGGCAGCGGCTCCGAGGACGAAGGGGCGGCCGCCGGCGGGGGCATCCCGGGCGGCAGCCCGCCCGACCCAGACGGCTGCAAGAAGAAGCACCGCCGCAACCGCACCACCTTCACCACCTACCAGCTGCACGAGCTGGAGCGCGCGTTCGAGAAGAGCCATTACCCGGACGTGTACAGCCGCGAGGAGTTGGCCATGAAGGTGAATCTGCCGGAGGTTAGAGTGCAGGTAAGATGCAAGCATGTAAGGCATTAGAGCTTAGCCATAGCACCACTATAGGGAAGCATATTTACGTTCCCTACACAGCTAGCGCGACAGGTCGCTCTCACGGCATAGGGATTGGAGTGCATATACTGGAGCACTCCGTTTCCTAGCTGATATGCGCGAAGGGCATCGGCGTTCCCGCGTGTTATTGTTTATTGTCATCAGCAGAACGCTGCGAGCAATTAGTTGCCGAATAAGTCTCTAAGAATTCATCTCTTCATCACTGGAGGACTTCTACAAAGAAAAGTTGTTGCGTTATGCTAGCTGCAGGGATAACAAATTGTTAATTTATTTTACGAAATTTTGCAAATAATCGGTTGAACTTCGTGTTGTGAAAGTTTTTGAAGATCAGTTCACAGTTACTTCAGCTGCAAATCAGACACTTTCGTACCAAGTAAATACAAAGTTGGAAGTGTGTGACTGTCCAGAAGGGGCAGGAGGGAAATATTGCAAGCATCTGTGCGCTTTATATAATACTGGGGTGCACAACGTTCCTAATATTTTATCATATACAAGACAAAATGAAACTTGCTACGTTAGCATTTCACTTGATTCTTTGGGATTTTCTCTGCTCGTTTCTATAAAATAAAAATATTCGTATTATTTCAATATATTTGTAGTGGGACAAATCAGATGATTTGCCCCAAAATGTCACTGCGTTCAACAAATTTTTCTATCAGGGAGCCTGAAAGAAAAATCCAGTAGCTTGTCAGTGACAATTTGTTTGGAAAATGTTTGAAGGAAAGAAATATAGATATATTGAAAAAATATCGAATTTTTACTTATCTTTGGACGTTTCGGAACCGAATCTGCTCCCGTTCTCATCAACATAAAAATGCAAAATATCTCTCTTTGGAAGTTGTGCTGCTTATAGTTCGACACTTTTCAGTGTCATACTGATGTTGACATATGAATGAGTGATTCTAGTCTACAAATGAGTTACAGGATGTTTTCATTAATTGATCTTGAATCTACCATTTTCATGTTCAGTTTTCAGTAGTGAATACCATGTTCTATCTATATCAACTGAACAGGAAGCAATGCTATTGTCTCCGTTCAGAAGAATGCAAGCGGATTCCTTGATCTTCATTTTTTGGCTGTTATCTCCCTATACAAATTATCATCAGATGAGTTCTAGGAATCACGCCATCTAACATTCAATATGTGAACCCCACGTCATCGTCTAAAATGCAATTGTTTATATCAAGAACCAGTCTGACGAAACAAATGAAGAGTGAACGCACCAGAAATGTATATCATCAATGTTTTTGTTTATGATTTCTAGTCGTTTGATATAGCTAATGCGCACGAACTTTAGTTTGCCGGATGGGCTTTGCAACAGTTCGCTCATTTTGCTGGTTCTTGTGCAGGCAATTTCCCGTCAGCTGTGAGGTGGCCACCTGTACATTTCAAAAACTTGTTATCTCTATTGCAATTATTGCTGGTGGCAATACCCCACACCTGACAGCGCTTGCCCCCGAGTGATTCTGATGGACCGTAATGTCTTCACTTTATTACTCAGGCGCCGAAAAGTTACAATCGGGTCTACTACGACCAGATAAAGAGGCCTTCACCTTGTGTTTAGCCTGTAGACCTCCTTGATTTGAATTTTGCGTTCATCTGTCATTTCCTCCTTTATCTCGGGGGGCTCAGACTCGAAGTCCAAAGCTCTCAACACGAATGCGTGGGTTTTGTCTTTTTTCAAGGAATGAGTGTAAAAGGTCTTTTCTGCGCATTTTCAAAGTCCTCTACAGCCTCGTTATATAGCAGAGTACAGTCTCCTACATACTTGAAGTGGAATTTTTTGGTAGTTATGGACTTTATCAATGGGATCATTTCCTTACTGTCCCTCAAGATACCATCGAATATAATAGGAGGCAGTTTTTCTCCTTTCTTTGGTTGAGTTGACTGCGCGTTGGTTGATTTATATCGTTGTTTGTTGAGATTGATGATGAGTTTTTTTACCGAGTGCTGTGAGTTTCTTCTGTTTTTTGGACCTTGGGGCCTCTTCTTCGTCTGAAGACGCTGAGTTCCTTCCTCCGAACGGAGTTGGCCAGGGTTCAAATCCTTACTCCAGATCATCTTTTTCTTCGTTTTTTTTTTTCGAAGTGAAAAATAAAGCGTGCTATGACAATTTTGTTTGCGATATTCACAAGTAAATAGCTAACGTTCGCGGAAATTCCTATATTTGAAAATAAGGGGGATATCCTGTATCAGGACATCGAAATGGGACAGCCGTACATGCTGTTTCAAAAATATGATACGTATGTTGCACTCAAATTGTGCTGGTACATTGGTATATTTCCTATGGGTCCATTTGAATCAAGATAACATTTCATACTATTTCACAAAATTGAACCGAGCAAGGTCGCGATGTAATCTAGACATTCAATAATTATTTCCATTTTTTTCCTATTACACCATGAACGTTCCACGAATGTGATCCCACGTAATTTAATTCAACGGTAGGTAGGTATTGTGATATTTGTTGATCGAAGGAATTAGCCCCTATACGTACAAGCTCGTTTTAACACGCTATATTTCTATGGTCACGATATCACCCTCATAATTATTGTTACTTTATATTAATAGCCTTTAGTAGAGGTGATAGCGTACCGTCGTCTTCAGAACAGTCCCATTTGGTAAAACGTTTTAAACTTTCAGAAAAATTTGCTCACCGCCTCACAAAGATTATGTAGTTGAAAAATCAAAAAATCGAAGATTATCATCATCATTTGGATATAATATGTAGAGTTGAATAAGAAATTACATGTGGACATTACGTATGATACGCCAATGTCCACAATATAACCTAAAAAACAAAAAATGTCAGAAATCTAGTGTTTATCCCCAAAAATTAATGAAGATGGAACAATTCAACTGTTTCACAAACACTTTAGAGTGGGAAAAGACGAGGATCTGTCCGTACCCTGTTAAGATGACAAATACGACGTCAATATACATCAAGGGACCCTAAGTTTGACGAACTTTAGTCAACAGGATTTTTCACCGTGTATATAATTCTAGTTTTGAGGGAGTTGGAGGAAGGTCTATACAAAATTGCTTTAGCTCAGAGAGGGTGCATTTTCGGTGAAATATATTTATTTGCAAAATGTCTTATTTGGAATCCTACAAGAAGTCCTTGGTATAAATCGAAATCTCAATCACTCTGTGTTGAAATGAAAACGTTAATACTCACATTTAACGATTCGAGATTTCAAAAATTACTGTCTATATCTTTCCGAAATTCAATATAGAAATAAGAACAAATAAATAGCAAACTCTACACCAAATATTGATATCTGATGCGTCAGAAAAACATGCAAGTAACAAATTCTGCTGATATGCGCCGATAAATACCTATCCATTATAGAATAACTTATTAACAGTATATAGGGTATCTGGTGAATGTTGTAAATATCCGCTGAAACACTTGATGGTTTCGAAATATTTCGTTATGGAGAATTATTATCCTTGTCATAAAGTAACTAATTTTGTACGTTGGATTTCTCCTTGACATAACACACCGAATTTCCTATTCCGCTGTAGCTTTATATATAATTTTGTCGGAGAACATGTAATTAATTTTCGGTAACTTCCCAAGCAAAATCCAGTTAATTACAACTTTGTAACCAAAATTGGTTCGTCTGTTCTGCGGTAATTGGATAGCTGCAATCGTATTAGCGAGCTTCGGAGTTAAGTCTCCGCCAGAAAGCGTCAATTCGACACGAGATCAAGAGTGTAATCCGATTGTCTCGTTAGGGACGTCTTGTTAGTCACATCCTTCGGTAGATTGACGCCGGAAGTCGATCAAGAGCACGCGATTATTTGGACAGCAATTGAATGAAATCGAATTGAAAAAGTCACTTCTCAATCTCCGTGGCCAACCAAGAACCAGATCCAAGATCCAAGAGTGGATAACTCGTTAATAAGGAAGACCACGATTTTTCTAAATCATCGTGAGCTCTATACCAAGAAACTATATACCACTAAATATAATTTTGAATTTTTTTATTCATACTAGCACGATAAGAAAAATAAATTAAAATATGTTTTTTTCTAAACATACACTTGCTGTGTCATTTGAAATGCTGTCAATTCATTGGTGTGAATGGTGTGACGTATTAGCCCCAATACGCCTAATGTTCTTGAGCTGACCAATCACACTGCAACAATGCAGGATCGCAACTATCGCAACGTATCAGAGAGAAATAGCTACAGTTCGAGACTAATACGTCACGGCTCCACCTTCATGGCTGGCTTTTTGAAATATGGAATGGAATATGCTGATTTCAAAACGCTGTAGATTCGATTTCCTTCAACTTTGACCTATAAAGATGTTTGGACAGCTTTCATCTCCCAGTGGTATTCCCCATTGTATTCGGTATAATACTGGGTCACTCAGTTTATCTACAGACAAATTACCAGTTTCATAACTCACAACTCAACAATCTTTCACCTCATGAATGAAACAACACGAGTACATCAGAAAGGTACAAACCATAGAGGCTCTCTGTTCTAGTAGAGTCTTGATGGAAGACCACATCCTGCGAAACACATCATGGCAAACTTTCTAATTTTCAGTTTTTCAGTATGTGAATTTTTGTAAATTCTATTTTATATTTTTAAAATTTTATTATTGGAACTACAGAAAAGCTTGAAATACTTTTTCATACTCAGCACCTTTTGATAAGATCCAACGTGGTGATATTGATTTCTACAAGCAAAACTTTCCTTAAGGTTGAGAAACGCGACAATTCTCGCCTATACCTGAGGTCCGGGGGGGTTAGGAAGAGATAGCAGTGGGCGGTTACAAAACAGTCATAAATCAACAAGCATCCTTTTTAGAAAAGGACAACTCACCCGGTTCGTCAATTAGTCGGGGTGATTACCGCGTCCGAATATTTATTTATATTGCCAATAA